TGGAATAACAGAAGTGGAGGTTGGGAACGTAGGGATACTGAAACTAACCCGTTTGGTAATGATGGAAATGCAGATGCGGCTGTTAACGAGCAGGAAAACACAGTCATTAACTTTGAGGCTTATGAAGATATTCCCATCGAGACAAGTGGAGATAATGTGCCACCCCCTGTTAATACTTTTGCAGAGATAGACCTTGGAGAGGCTCTGAATCTAAATATCCAGAGGTGCAAATATGTTAAGCCAACCCCTGTGCAGCGTAATGCAATTCCCATATTAGCTGCTGGGAGAGATTTGATGGCGTGTGCTCAGACAGGGTCCGGGAAGACAGCTGCCTTTTGTTTTCCGATTATTAGTGGGATTATGAAGGAGCAGGATGTAGAGAGACCACGTGGAGTACGGGGAGTCTATCCTCTTGCTGTCATTCTCTCACCAACAAGGGAGTTGGCATGCCAGGTCTGAATCACTTTTTTCTAATATCAAATTTTATGTGCATTGGTAGATTACATGAAGATCCATGAAAAATATGTCTGTTTTATGATTTTTTTGGCAGATACATGATGAAGCCAGAAAGTTCTCCTATCAAACTGGTGTGAAAGTTGTGGTTGCTTATGGAGGAACACCAGTCAACCAACAGGTTTCTGTTACTGTTTGATAATTGCTTCATTTTCCACGTCTCATGTATACTGTGTGTGAGAGAGAAAAAGAGATTTTATGTGATTTCACAGCTGTAATGATACGAGACTTCTCTGGTCCGCCTTGTTAAACTTTGTTCTGACAGTTGTTTGAGCTCTTAGTTTGGTTGATAACTTGTCTTGGCTGTTCTGTAATATACCAAAACTCCTCCTGTATACGAGGGTGTATGATAATTAACTATTCTATCCTTCAAATGGAAAGCTGCAGGAATCAGCTACATTCATGATAGTAAGTCTGGTGCTCTTGCTAATCTACTCTTGTTTTTCTGTTTTATAGATTAGGGAGCTTGAAAGAGGAGTTGATATTCTTGTTGCAACTCCTGGGAGATTAAATGATTTGCTTGAGAGAGGTAGAGTCTCTTTACAGATGGTAAAATTCTTAGCACTTGATGAGGCGGACAGGATGCTGGACATGGGTTTTGAACCACAAATCAGGAAGATCGTTCAGCAGATGGACATGCCTCCTCCTGGTGTCCGGCAAACGATGTTGTTCAGTGCTACATTTCCTAGGGAGATACAGGTTTGTGGAACTCTTTCACATGTCATTTTCTAATCCTTCCTCTGTATATGACACTGCTTTCTTTGCGATTTTGGGGGGTCTCCAGTACGCTTGGGCAGACGATGTGGTTCAGTGCCACATTATCCAATAATGTTTGTTGTTTTGGTCGAGACTTGCAAAAGTTTTGCGTACGTACTGTGAAGGAATTATTCTTTTCTGTTCCATATGCACTTAACTTTTATTCTATTTTTGTGTGCAGAGACTTGCATCTGATTTTCTTTCAAATTACATATTTCTGGCTGTTGGAAGAGTGGGTTCAAGTACGGATTTAATTGTCCAAAGAGTAGAGTTTGTCCATGATTCTGACAAAAGAAGCCATCTGATGGACCTTCTTCATGCCCAGAGGGAGAATGGTAACCAAGGAAAGGTAATGGAAACTCGTATGATTGGTTTCTTGGTTAAAAGTGAACATAATCAATATTAAAGCTCCTTTCTGTTTCATTGTCTCTTTGTTCTATACGATGCATTGTGGTTCAAGAGTACCTTGATAATCCTCTTTATTTAATTTTACAGCAAGCGTTGACTCTAGTTTTTGTGGAGACAAAGAAGGGAGCTGACTCTTTGGAGAATTGGTTGTGCATCAATGGATTCCCAGCAACGACGATTCACGGTGATAGGTCACAACAGGTTAGTGAGTTGTTGACATAAAAAATGGATATCGTAGAGTATATGTCACTAAAACCGTATTGTGTTGCTATGCCTATAAGGAAAGAGAAGTGGCACTGAGGTCATTCAAGACTGGGAGAACACCTATTTTGGTTGCAACCGATGTGGCAGCACGTGGGCTTGACATTCCACATGTGGCTCATGTGGTTAACTTTGATCTACCAAACGACATTGATGACTATGTCCACCGTATCGGACGAACAGGACGTGCAGGAAATTCAGGACTAGCAACTGCTTTCTTCAACGATAACAACACATCAATGGCCAAACCACTCGCTGAGCTAATGCAAGAAGCAAACCAGGAGGTCCCTGACTGGCTTACTCGATACGCATCTCGTGCTTCATTTGGAGGTGGTAAAAACAAACGGTCTGGTGGTGGCCGGTTCGGTGGCCGTGACTTCAGGAGAGAATCTTATAGCCGAGGGGGAGGTGGTGGTGACTACTACGGTGGTGGTGGGTATGGAGGTGTTCCCGGTGGTGCCTATGGAGCAATGCCTGGTGGGTATGGAACCGTACCAGGTGGTGGATATGGAGCCGTTCCTGGTGGTTATGTACCTTATGGTAGAGGCGGTGGTGCTTACTACGGTGGAGGATATGGAACCGTTCCTAGCCAAGGTTATGGCCCTGGAGTGGCTAGTGCTTGGGACTAAGCTTTTTACTTCAATTCTTCAAGAACCGATTATGTTCTCTCTTACTTATCTCTATTCCTTATTGATAGTGAGCACCCATGTGTATGCTTGCTCTTTAAATGGTTATGTAGACACGAATCTTCTCTTGTTCACTGTGAAAAAGAAAAAACTTCTCTACTAGTCGACTAGTATTTTCCATTAGTTATCTAGTACTATTATTATTATAGTCTTACGAAACATTGAATTGATCTACAACCATACTTTTTTTATTAAAATGGAAGTAAGAAAAAAGGCAATAATGGTTTTACTAAATTGAGGATTAAAATGAGAGAAAAACAAAAAAAGAAGGTTAGACAAAGCCACACAGAGGTCATTATAAAGAATGACCAACTTCAGAAAGTGATCTCTGCCTTACTTTTGGATCAGAACCACTTTCTATCTTTCTGTCATCATCTCTATCACAGATTTTTGGGTAGAGGTTTTTGTCTAAAGAGTTGCTGTCATAATCTTGTAAAGAAGGACCGGAATCAAAAAAAAACCTATCTGTAAGCAAATGGCGGTGGATGGTGAAGACGGTTAGCGTCTGCTTCTAGGCATGCATCGAAATTCAGCTAAGAGAGCAATGTGATTAGAAGACCATTCTGGGGAAGGAAGAGCTGTGTCTTTTCTCAATCCATCTTCATCCAGTAGTTCCAATAAAGATTCCACCATTAATGTATCCGCTGAAACCAAAGCAAAAGAATGTTCCTGCTTAGTTAACTTGTTATTTTATCATGTAGTCGAAGAAGGACAAGGAAATTAAAGATGGTGATTACCTGTGTAAAATATGTAGTCATGAGTGCCAATGAAATCCCTTGTACAATTGGTAAACATAGGCTCGTTTGTATTAAGATCCATTCTCCTTCTATGGTGTTCCAATCCAAGACCCATTTCCCGTCTCACAAACGATGAGTATGCGCTCACCTGAAACCGATGTGTTACTTATCAAAGATCCAGAAGAGAGGCAAACAAGGTTAAATTTACTTTATTGAAGGAAAGAAAAAACACAAATTTACCAGTGGCAGTTGATGAGTCAATTTGGTAAACGGACGCAGGAATCCAAAGGGGTCAACCGACAGATCTGGGTGTGTAGTATCAACCTTTCCCATTACAAGAAGTGAATGAGGACAACTGTAATAAAAATTCCAAAAGTAGAGATTTAGCTTTCTACACCAATAATTATTAAGAGAATTCAGCATTTGCTATATCAGATCAGAAGAATTAGTGAATCAACAAAACCTTCCGGGAAGCGTATTGAAGTCTCCACACACAAGCATAGGAATATCGGCACTAGCAGCTATTTTCTCCAACCCCTTTAATAAGGTATGAACCTAAACTCAAAAGAATTAAACAAAAACTGTGGTGAATACTAATCTCTCTTGAGTTTCGATGAAAATTGAGTTCTCTAGGATATAGAGAAACACAAACCTGCCACATCTTCACATCCTTCAGTTCTTGTTGAACATTAACATGTGTGTTTGCCTAAACTCCAGCAAGTTACAGAAACAAAATGAGAAAATAAATTAGTCAGTTTCCACGCAAAGAGCAAGAACAGAAAATAACCGATCTTATCAGAGCAGACTTCTCAACAAACAATTGAAAGGGAAGAAAAAAGGAAACTCTACCACACAAATAAGTTGGCGCTTCCCAGAAGAATCAGCAGGTTGATTGCCAAATTTTGCTTCAAGAACAACTATCAACGCAATGTTATCCTATGACATAACAATCGCCAGAATCAGTGATGTAAACAATAACTCTCTAAAAATCAGCTGTGACACCAGACAAAATGCATAATATGCCGAAAATACCTTAAGTAGTCGGTTTAAAGCAGCTCTCTTCTGGGCAGGAGGGACTACAGCGTCCGTCAAAGACTGAGCAGCCTTATTGAATTCAACCTGGATTAACAGTCCCATGAATTAGTATGAGGATCTTAATTGATCGGCGAGTAAACATATAGAACGGATACAAACATCATATTTCTTGACAAATGAAAATCTATCCCGTCGGAAAAATGTTGCACAGCCATCAATCACACTTGTACTTCCGCTGAGAACCTAGCAAGAAGTAAGTTATGGTTCAGAGATTATGCAGCATAAACACACAAAAAGAAGGAGTGTGCGGAATCAATGATCCAACCTCATTAGTCTTCCTCTTGTAAAGAGCTTGATACCCATGCTTATCCAACTCAGGAGCGAAAATTTCATGGAAGTGGTCACTTTGTACCTGCCAGATAAAGAAAGAAGAATGAACATTTTTTTTTGTTTATAATGCTTAAACTGGCGTCCTCCTGATTTGAAACAAAATATTAACCAAGTCCATACAAAAAAAAACATACCTCTTGTAGGCAAACTACATCAGCACGATAACCAACAATCTCCCTTAACAAATTCTGTCTGCGGTATGGCCAAGAAAGAGCCCAAGGAGGACAGTAACTGTATAGGTCGCTATTTGCAGAAGTATCTGATAAAATATTATATGACAAAACAGTGAATGATCCTGCAGACTGAATCCGACCATCTTGATCTAAGTGACCCATCACATCAACTCCATTGACAGGGATAAGCCTACGAGGACTAGGAGAAGGAGCAGGAATAACCCGTGAAGTCAAAATGGTACTAGGATGTCCCACAGACTGTTTAGTCTCTGAATTAGCGACAACACACTCGAACTTCAAAACATAGCCAATATCATCAGATGTCGGTGTGTATGTTTTGAAACCCCCGACCTCGATTAGCGTCTCTCCTCCATTCTTCTGCGCAATATTAGAAGGATAAAAAGGCGTTGGGCCATTATTGGCAATATTAAGATTAGACATAGACCCGGACAAGCTACCGGCCAGAACCCCAGCACCTCTGACTAAATCATCTTCCTCGTTTCCGTTTTCGGCAGCTGCTCGCTCGTGTAAAGTCCTGTGATGCTGCCACGCATCCGTAAAGCATTTTGGAGAACAGTGATAGCTTTTCCCAACAAGTGCTCTACGCTTTGAACAGAATACGCATTGTAAGGTGGCTTGTTCAGTTGGATGAACACTACAAATCGTTACTTTCTTATCACTCTGTACACGAAACCTACATCAAACATAAGAACTCTATATATTGAGATCAAAGTCCAAACTTTTAACAATCACCACAACCAATTAACACACCTTTCAACGACCTAAATCAGCACATCTACATCAGAACTCTATGAATTGAGATCAAAATCCAAACTTTTAATAAACCCCAATTCCCCAAAGGATCCAAAACAAGCAATTAAGACTTAAGAAGCAAACCCACGAAGAGAAATCAGAAATCAGGAGCACTGTACCATCTGTATCTCAAAAAGTAGCCTTCGAGAGGAGCCGATTCCGGCACATCTTCAGTAGCGGCGGTCTTGTCTGGACGGCGAACAAGGACGTAAGGAGTTAATTCACAGCCGACAATGGGAATTTCGGAAGGTAGATGCACTCGGATCACGCTCAGCATTGCTTTTCCGAACTATCGAAGCAGAGAATCGAACCAACACCTTGATTAGAAGTGAATTCTCGATGAAACCCAAATGAAATAGACTCGAAGGTAGGCTGATCCACCATTTACTTGACCCAAAAACCCGCACAAGAGCTTCGTCGAATCTCCCCAAACCCTAGATATATCTATCTCCTCGTAAACAAAATTGGATCCCAAAATTGAAAAAATAAGAATCACGGAGGAAGCTTTTAATTGTAGAATAGAGAGATGTGGAGGTGGATCTTTGAGAAAAGTTCAAGGATCGATTCTTACGCTGATAATGGAAAAAATCAATCAAGGATTTTGTTTTTATATTTGTTTTCAGAAGTGAGATCAATCAATAGTAAAGAACAAACAAAAAAAATGTTAGCTTTCGCCTTTAGAGTTTAGACCCAACAAAAAAAAAGTCATTTTCCCTTTTTTTATTTAGGAAATTAGAAATATATATAAAATTTGATGTTTTTGTCCAAATAATTTCAAAAGAATTCGGTTTGGCGCTGAAAGATTGAAAATATTTTGAACCATTTTTTCTATTTTCGTTTTCTTAATTAAAAAAAAAATTCAATTTAAGAAAACAGATAATAATAATCTACAATTAAATTACTCTAAACCCAACACAACTCGAGATTGATGATTTGAAAACTTACGAAATCAAAAACAGTTTCGTTTTGGTATTGTGTGTATTACATAACAATGTTCATATCCAATACTACAAAGCAAAATGATAGAGAAATGAGTAAAAAGAGTGATGAAAACATATCTTGTCATACGAAAGTTATAGTGGCGTTAAACTTGTTCCGATATGTATGTAATGAACTTCCATTTACGCGAGTTACCATTAAAAAATATAGAGGTTCGTGTCACAAAACTTTCGAGTAGCATTAAGACCTTTTAGGCTTTTGAGTAGCATTGAGAAGAAAGGTCTTACACGAGAACGGAATAACGCTTCATCTTTTTCTTTTTGCGTCCCCATATCATATAGTATAGTCCTCGTGCGAGGGTAGAAGTTTCCGTATAGCGATATGGAAAACCTTTAGATAAAAACGAAGTTGAGAAATTTTCTTTGAACCGAGAGTCTCTACTTGTCATCTATTGATTAACTCTTTCATGACAAGAAAAGATGTTCAAAAACCATTTCATATTTGATTTGCTTTATATCTTTCAAAATATGTAACCTTTTAGTTAGAGCATTAAAGGTTACACAATCTAGTGGATTTACTTAAGT